CCCCTTCCCCCTCTCCCCCTCTCCCCTCCCCTAGACCCTAGACCCTCCTGCAAGGGAGAAGGAGGAGGTGGAGAGAACCCGGCGTTTTCTCGGGGATTCTAGACCTCCTTCCTCTCCTCCTCCTCTCCTCCTCTCCTCCTCTCCTCCTCCCGCTCGGATTCTGGACGTCTTTTGTCTCTGGCCCGTTTCCTCGATCGGATTCTAGACCTAATTTCCCTCCTCTCGGATTCTAGACCTATTTTTCCCTCTTCCTTCAGATTCTAGACCAGTTTTTCTCTCCTTCCTTCAAATTCTAGACATATTTTCCTCTCTTCTCCCGGATTCTAGACCTAATTTGCCTCTCCAAGATTTCTAGACCTATTTCCCCTCTTCTCTCAGAATTATAGCCCCATTTTCTCTCCTCTCGGATTCTAACCTAATTAACCCTTTCTCTCGGAATCTAGACCAGTTTTCCCTCCTTCCTTCATATTCTAGGCCTATTTTCCTCTCCTCTCGGATTCTAGACCCATTTTCCTCTTTCCTTCAGATTCTAGACCTATTTTCCTTCCTTCTCTAGGATTCTAGACCTTTTCCCTCCTCTCGGATTCTAGACCTAATTACCTTTTAATTTTATTTTATCAATTTAATTAATTTAATTAATTAATTTAATTATTAATTACCCTCGGATTCTAGGTCTATTTTCCTCTCTTCCCCTCGGATTCTAGGTCTACTTTCCTCTCCTTCCTTCAGATTCTAGACCTAATTTCTCTCTTATCTCGGAATCTAGACCAGTTTTCCCTCCTTCTCCTAGATTCTAGGCCTATTTCCCCTCCTTCCTTCAGATTCTAACCTATTTTTCCCTCCTCTCGGATTCTAGGCCCATTTTACCTCCTTCCCTTGGATTCTAGGCATATTTTCCATCCTTCCTTCAGATTCAAGACCTATTTTTCCCCTCCTCTCAGATTCTAGGCCCCCCCCCCTTCCTTCAGATTCTAGACCTATTTTCTCTCCTTCTCTCGTCTTCTAGACCCATTTTCCTCCTCTCAGATTCTAGACCTATTTTCCTCCTTCTCTCTCGTTTTCTAGACGTATTTTCCCTCCTTCTCTCTTCTAACCTATTTTTCCCTCCTCCTCTCAGATTCAGACCCATTCCCCCCCCCCCTTCTCTCAGATTCTAGGCCTATTTTCCCTCCTCCTCTCAGATTCTAGCCCTATTTTCTCTCCTCTCGGAATCTAGACCAGTTTTTCCTCTCCTCTCAAATTAGGCCTTTTTTCCCTCCTTCCTTCAAGATTTCTAGGCCTATCCCCCCCCTTCCTTCAGATTCTAGACCTGTTTTCCCTTCTTCTCTCGGATTCTAGACCTACTTCCCTTCCCCGCCCCCTTCCACACGGATTCCAACCCCCCCCCCTTCCCCCGACCCAAAGCGGGATTCTAGACCGGCATCCCTTTCTTCCAAGAGATTTCAAACTCTTCTCGCCTCCTTCAAGAGTCCAGAGATCCTCTTTCCCTCCTCCTTCCCTTCCTTCTTGAGAGTCCAGCTGTCTTCCCCTGCTCCTCCTTCGGGAACTCAAGACCTGCCCTTGCTCTCCTTCAAGAGTTATTCAGTCCCCTTCCTTCTTCTTCTTCTTCTTCTTCTTCTTCTTCCAACTCCACCTGGCCTCGATTTCCATCTCCACCTTAACCTTTCCCCTCACCCTCCTCTTCCACTTCCTCCCCTCAACCCTTCCCCTCTCTCTCCATCCTCCTCCTTCCCCTCCACCTCCCCCCCCCCCCTCCCCGAACCTTCTGCAGGAATCCCGCCTTCCTTGCTCGCCTCCCCCTCCACCTTCTCCCCTTCCCCCTCCCCATTCCCCTCCACCGTGTCCCCTTTCCCTTCCACCTTCTCCCTCCCCCTCCACCTTTTCCCCTCCCCCTCCCCCTCCCCCTTCCCTCCTCCCTTTCCCCCCTCCCCGAACCTCCTCCAGGAATCCCGCCCTCCTCGCTCGCCTTCCCCTCCACCTTCTCCCCCTCCCCCCTTCCCCTCACCCCCCAAGGCAGGCCATCCCGACCTCCCCCTATCCCCGTCCTTTCCGCGTGCCAGGGACCCGACCCCCTCCTGCAGGACGCGTGGGTACGGAACCGGCCCTCGCTCCCACCCGCCCACGCCCGCCGCGCAGCTCCCCCCCCTCCCTTCCGGCGCGGGTGCAACAACAAGAACAACAACGAAAACTGGAACAACGAAAAACTGGAACAACCAAACAGGGCGACGAGAACAATAACTGATGGACTCCAACAGCAACAGCAATAACGATAACAGATATGGTAACTAAACCAACAACAACAATAACAAAAATTACGACGAGAACAATAATAATAGCAACAACAATAACAAAAATGACGACAAGAACAATAATAATGGCAACAACAATAACAAAAATGACAAGAACAATAATAATACCAACACAATAACAAAAATGACGACAAGAACAATAATAACAGCAACAACAATAACAAAAATGACGACAAGAACAATAATAATAGCAACAACAACAATGATAACTACACCACCAACATCATTAATGATAACAACAATACAATTAAAATCCGAATAAACTACAATACCAAAGAACAGACTAAAAAAGGGGTTCAGATACACACCTATACATCATACACAGACGCATGAGAAGCACCATTTTTCATTACAACATTCGTTTCCGTCAAGAGCAAAACTTAATATGGAGTGGACTCCCCGCAAAAAAAAATAATAATAAATAAAATAAATAAATAAATAAATAAATAAATAAATGAATAAATAAAAAATAAAGGAAAGACAACATCAATGATAATAATACCAACAACAATGATAACAACAATAACAAATAATAATAATAGTAATAATAATAACAATAACAACAACAACAAAACAACAAAATACCAACAACAATGATACTAACAATAATAACAGCAATAATAATAACAACAACACCAATAACAACAATAACAACAATAATAACAATAACAAAGCAACAACAACAATGACAATAACACCACCACCACCACCACCACCACCACCACCACCGACATCCCTACAGCCCATCGCAACCACAACAACAACACAGCGCCAACCCACACGGACACTTACACTCAACACATCCACGAGACCCGGGCCGCTACACGTGCAAAATAAAGCGATTTTTGCGATACCTGAAATCCGTGGTAATCTCAACCGGTCTTGAATTACAGATTTCTGAAATCCTGGATTTTACTCGCAAACAAACAAAACAAACAAACAAACAAACAAACAAGCAAAGAGAGGAATCCGTAAATAAATGAATAAAGCAAATAAACAAGGAAAGGAATACGTAAATCAATGAATAAAAATTGGGTAAATAAATAGGTACCAAAAATGAATGTATGAATAAAAATTAGGTAAATAAATAGGTACAAAAATGAATGTATGAATAGGTAAACAAATAAATAAACAAATAAATATTTTTTGCTGTGAGATTTCTGGGGATTAAATAGAGAATTATCATAAATCACCCATAAATTAGTCACAAATAAATAAAACGCAGAATTAAGAAGACAAATTGGGTAATGCTCAAAAAGTTACAACCAAAAATAACAACAAATGAACAAATACTTGAACAAACCAATCATCATAAAATAAAAATAACAAAACTAATAACTGTATCAATAACAACAATAACAACAAAAATAAAACACCGTGACCGTTATCATTATAACCATAACATCAATAACAATGATAATGATAACGTAAATGATATTAACAATAATACAAAAAAGTAAAATTAAACAATAACAACAACAATGGAAAAATAATATTGCCAATTATTGTTACTTTTTTCTTTTTCAATTTTTTTGTTCTTTGCTTTCTTTCATTTTTATTACTACTATTAGTAATATCATCATAATCATCATTATTATCGTTAATGTTGCTGTTGCTGTTTTTTAATTTTCATATCATCATCAATAATGATAATGATAATGATAATGATAATAATAATACCAATAATAATAACATAACAATAACAATAATGATAATGATAATAATAATAATAATAATATAATAATAATATAATAATAATAATGATAATAATAATGATAATAATAATAATAATAATAATAATAATAATAATAATAAATAATAATAATAATAATAATAATAATAATAATAATAATAATAACAATAATAACAATAACAATAACACTAATAATAATAATAATAATAATAATAATAATAATAATAATAATAATAATAGTAATAATAATAAAATAATAATAATAACAATAATGATAATAATAATAATAATAATAATAATTAGCTTTTACCATCATTATTATGATCATTATCTTTATCATTAAAATCGTTATCATCATTCCAATAATCATCAATATCGTTTTCATATTATAATTACAACCACCATCATAATGATCATTATGATGCAACAACAACAACAACAACAACAGCAACAACAACAGCAACAGAAAACAACAAACAACAACAACAACAACAGCCACAGCCACAGCCACAGCCACAGCCACAGCCACACCACAGCCACAGCAACAACAACAACAACAGCAACAACGTGCGCGAGGCCCTTACCTGGAGTCGTCCGTCGAGGCTCCTGGGGATGGTGACGCACTTGCACTGCTGTCCGGGGCACGAGAGGGCGCGCTCCAGCTCCTCGACGGCGCCCTTCTTCTTCTTCAGCTTCTTGACGAGGGAGTCGACCGCCTTCTCGGCCCACTTCTCCTCTTCGTCGCCCTGCTTCCACACCCAGCAGCTTCTTCACCACCGCCGGGGACGTGAACGAGAACAGGGAGTTGAGGGCCGTCATGGCGCGGGCTGTTCGTCGTTCGCTCGCCTGCTCACGGGTCTGTCTGCTGCAGCAGGAGGGGGCGGGAGGGCGTCGTTATCGGGCGGGCAACGCAGAGCCCGGGCGCGATGGGCAGTGGCGCGGGGGTGAGGGAGGGGCTCGCACGGCCCTTCCGACGAAGCCAAAAAGGGGACACGGGGTCGTTAAGGCAGGGACGGCGACGCCTCCCGAAGGACGGGCCGGTCGCTCGCCAGGGGAGCTCCTCGTGAGGCTCTGATTCGCGGAGGCCGGGCCGGGGCTCAGGCCGAGGGGGGAGGAGGGGGAGACGGACCACGGGAGTCCCGGATGTACCAATCTACCAATACTTTTACTTTCCACTGTCGAATTTGATCACTTTGGCGTGGACGGCTTTGTCTCTTACGTTATCTTATCGCATACACAACACAGACAAAAAACTTTGCACTTGGTTACCGAGCTGGTTCAGTTCGGCTCCGCCACACTGTAGCGCAAGCGGCCGCGCAGGGAACACACGAGCAGAACCGACGGGCGCAGCTACACAAAGAGGCGCTCCTTGTGTGCTGCAGACGGGGCCAGCTGGAGTCGAGGGACGGTCGTGAAGGGGCACTAAATTTCAGGCTCAATTCCGAGCATTTTCCAGCGCGTTTGCCTCCGCCGTTCAACTGGCCAAATAAAAGCCTTCTATGGTCCATTCACCTCCGGCGACGTCTCGTTAATTGAATGAGTGTCTGCGACGTAAACTCTGACCCTACCACATTCTACGATCGCTCACAGTACGGTACACTTTGCAGACAATGGCAATGGCTAGTCGTTCTTTTCTCTGTTGTTAGCTTTATCACATGCCCCTCTTTCTCTTTCTCTTCCTCTCTTCCATATCCGCGGGGGTTCGCTAGCACTGGTCGTGGCGGAGGGGCGCGCTGGGCAACGGCAGGGCGTCCATACTCTTTCCTGCTGCGGCCGCGTCTGCGCCTCCCGTGGCCTCGTCACAGCAAGCGCAGCTCGGAGGAGGCTCGCACAGCTGGTCAGGCTCGCGGCGGGCGCATTCCCCAACGACGCTCGAGGCACCAGTGGTCGCTGGGCAGCTCCGACGCCCCTGTTGGCACCCTCGCGCGCACACTAGACACTCTGGTGCCGCCTCGCCGTCTCCACTGTGTGCTGGCACTCACCGCCGCCCCCGATGCCCTCGCCTGCATGCACTCGTACCCGCTCGGCCACGGCGCCCAGCCGCTGGCGCTGCTGCGGCGAGCCAGCACTGAGGAAGAGCTGCTCGCGCCCTCGCTGAGGCGTCGCGGCCGCGGTCGCCTCGCCGCTGCTCCCAGGCACTTAGCAGGGGTGGGAGTGGGAGGAGAGGGGGAGGAGGAGGAGGAGGAGGACAGGAGGAGGAGGAGAGGAGGAAGAGAGGGGGAGGAGGAGGCGAGGCACTACCTATACCGCCTTATCGCGCCGTTATCTCCTCATCTGCAAAGACAAGACGAGAAATACATTAGTGAACACTCTTACCGACGGCAACGCTGATCCCGCCCGATGATAGAGAGCGAGATAGCCCAAAAAATAAACAAAAAGACACGGAGGGCCACTGTCCGCGCCTGGCCACGTGACTGGCCTCTGACGGACGGCCTGACCCACGGACCAAGGGGACGGACGGAGGGGCAGAAGGCCGGAGGGACGCCGCCGCCGCCGCCGCCGCCGCCGGGGCACCTCGCAGCCTCTCGCATGCCAGCTTGGAACACTGCCTTGAGGTGGCAAGCAACCATGCTCCCCACCTCCCTCCCCTCCCCTCCCCCTGCCCCTCGCTCTCGCAGCATCCCCGGTGCCTCCCCACGAACCCCCGCCACTTACCCGGCGATGATGGTAAGCACAATCGGGCGGAGATGCCGCTACGCCCCCCCCCTCTTTTCTCTCTTCCCTCCCCTCCTCTCTCTCTCTCTCTCTCTCTCCTCTCTCCTCTTCTCTCCTCTCTCTCTCTCTCTCTCTCTCTCTCTCTCTCTCTCTCTCTCTCTCTCTCTTCTCTTCTTTCTCTCTCTCTCTCTCTCTGCTCTTCTCTTTCTCCTCTTCCCTCTCTCTCTCCTCTAACTCTCTCTTGGTCTCTATCTTTCTCTCTTCCCTCTCTCC